GTTTGATAGAGGCGAGTGGCTGTCTCGCCCCCAATGGATGGAGGCGAGTTCATTCACAGTTGGGTTGTACAAGAAATGTAAAAGCGTGCGTTGAATATGCCCCCGTTTGATGCGGAGGCGAGTGGCTGCCTCGCCCCCGATAGGTGCATGGATGCGTGTTTATTCACAGTTGGGTTGTACAAGTAATGTAAAAGCGTGCGTTGACTATGCTCCCGTTTGAAGTAGGCGAGTGGCTGCCTCGCCCCTGATAGATGGAGGCGAGTTCATTCACAGTTGGGTTGTACAAGAAAGGTAAAAGCGTGCGTTGAGTGTGCCCCTTTTCATCGTTACTGTTTTGATGTCCATCATTCTTAAAATGAACTGATTCTAATTCAGATTGGATGCTATTTCCAAATTGGGTGTGTTGGTAAACAAATTTGGATTACGAATGAGGTGTTGTCATTTAAATTGTAATAATTAGATACTCAAATAAAATACTTGGTATTGTCTGAATGGATTCAAACATGTACACAACTTTACTAACGAAATGGAGCGGGGAAAAGTCTGCAGGGTTTAGTATATGTAATCTTGATTATAACAAACATATGTGCCAAAATTACTCCAAACTATGTGAAAGAGTCAGAGCTGGAAAAATGTTTTCACAAAACATGTGGGAGGCCTGGAATTCGACATGACTTTTTAGTATTAAATTAGATAAATAGCCAAAGTCTTCAGATGAATGACACAAAAGTAATAAATACCGTAAATAATAATGATGATCGCCACACAACATGCTAAGCTACAGTGAACTCAAAGTAAAGGTGATACACACTTTCTGTCATTTTTGAGAATTTGTGTTTACTTAATCAACTGGGAAAACTATTTACATGTATCTCTGAAAACGCATGGGTTTCATTTCCCATGAATATGAGGTTTTATGTCAACCACAATGGACCATAAGAACGCCCACACTAAAGAACTAGCTTTACTCGATTTTTTCGGGAATTAAAGCACGTTGCATGTTCTGTATAGCCAGGAATGATAACGCTGACACCGTGGGATTTAATGAGGATTACCTTATTTGCTTTGCAACTTTCGCACTGTTGGTTGCCACTAGTAAATGTATACAATAGAACATGATCACATGCCTTTATTGCTTTGTCAATGTCAAAACACTAACGGTTCATCTCCTGATTGGTTGATGAATATTGCAAGAGAAAGAACTTCCGTGGATTTGCGCGCTCGTTCCTTCCTCCGTGGTTATTACAGAACGAACAAAATACGAATGCTTTCCAGAATAAATAGTTTCAAACTTAACTAGAATAGGCCTACAGGGGTAATAAGGACACACGCATGAAACAGAAAGTAATATGCTTAAACAAGAAAAAAAAAGTATTTCTCCCATAATATCATTCACTGGTGCACCCTAATTATGAATGGATGAGGCAAGCAGACCACTCTGCCTGTGCCACTGATATAGAGATCATGCAGTGGCCAGTGCACATAAACCTATGCAACTTGGCCCTGTCGGCTTCGGGGTCAGCTGATTGATACTCTCACTCCTGCGGTTTCTTTTCTTTTGGGATCACCTGTTACCCACAATTTCAGCAACAAGTGATACATACCCGTTTAGCACTGGACCCCCATGAAAACGAA